CACTGCAGTGCCTGGAGCCCCCCTGCCCCTGCATCATGCACCCCCAGAGCATGCAAGAGCAGAGCAGCATCTGCCCGGGGGGGGACGGGAACTGCATTGATCCGTGTCTCTTGTTTTCTCTCTTCCTCCCCTCCCCGACTGGGCTGCGGTCACTGGCTTGCCCCTCTCTCTCCCTGCCCCCAGGAAGCACGCGGACTGTCCGCAGTTGCTGGACGTGGAGGACATGGTCCGGATGCGCGAGCCGGATTGGAAGTGTGTGTACACATACATTCAGGAATTCTATCGCTGCCTGGTCCAGAAGGGGCTGGTAAAAACCAAAAAGTCGTAGCCCACTTTCACCCCCCCGGGAGCGATGGTGAGAACCTTCCCCTCTAAATACCTGCCCGTGCCCCACCGCCGCTGCTTGGCCAAGGGGCCGGGGAGTGGCTGCCATGGCTGGGGAAGAGGCCGGGGGATGCTGGTGGGCAAGGGGCCAGTCCTGGTGGTGTTGGCCAGTGAGGCCAAGCTGTGGCCAGGAGAGGGGTGGAGGTGGCCAGCTGGCCTCTGGCCTTCCAGAGTAGCACCCATGGGGATTTAGGGAGGGGGGAACTGTGTCACCCTGGGGGGCTGTTGGCTTCCCAGCCACCGGGATGGCACTAGTGGGAAGGGAGCTGCCACAGCTCTTCCCTCCCCACTCGCTGAGCCTGACCCAGGGAATTAGCTGCTGGGGATGCTGCTCCGGGTGCTCTGCAGCAGCACGAGCCCGAGCCGTGCTGCCTGGATGTGGGTGAGGCCCCCTGGATGCCCCAGCATCACTGCTTGCACTTGCTTCCCCCCGCCCTGGGGCACACAGGGGCTGCTGGCCGGGGGGGTGGGGGGAGCTGCAGCCGCTGGTGCAGGGCCCGGCATGGGCCGTGGTGCTCTGCCTGCAAGGTGCTGCCTGCTCATATATGGGCAAGAGTGGGGAGTCTGGAAAGTGTGAGTCAAGACTTTGGTCCTGCCTCGTCTTGCAGTGTTTGTGCCTCTCTTCAGGGACATCCCAGCTGGCGCTGGAGCTGCTGCTCCCCTGGGCTCCGCACGGCACCAGCACACCGGGGCCCAAACAATGGCTTTATAAGGGCAGAGCCGCTCTCCTTGCGCTGCTGTTGCTTTGCCATCACTCCCCGAGCCAGGGCTGGCAGTAGCAGGGGGCCTCCAGAGCTCAGGCAGGGGCTTTCCCAAGGCCCTGAGCATGACCCCCCCCCTCCCTAGGGTGGCCAAATCACAAGATGGGGCTGATGCTGACCAGGCCGTCGGCTCAGAGCCCATGGCCTCCACAGCTGCATCAACTCCAGCACAGCAGAGGCCTCATGGGAGAGCTGGGGTGGCTGGGCACAGGAGCAGGGTCCCAGCCCCCCTGGGCCGGGTGCCTCTCCTTGGCCCTGCTGCTCCCCAAGGGGCTGGCACCAGCCCATGGTCCCTCCTCAGCTCTGCTGGTGCCAGCCCTGGGGACTGGGGTGGGGTGGGCTATGCTGGGGGGGGTGAGGCATGCAGGGGAGTTCCCACAGCCTGGGGAGAGGGGGGGAGAGGGTTTTGGGGCTGTTGTGGCGGGGGGGGGGGGCGGCGGGGGGGGG